AAGGAAGGAGAAGAGAGATGGAAGAAAGAAGGAGAGAGAGGGAAGGAAGAAAAGGGAGGAACGAAGGGAAGGGAAATTAGAGGAGGAGTGAGGGGAAGAGAGGAAGGAAGAGAGGAGGAGAAGGAGAAAGGAAGAGGAAGTAGGGAGGAGAAGAAGGGAAAGAAAGTAAAAGAAAGAAAAGAGAGAGGTGGTAGGTTTGAGGAGAAAGAATGAATTGTTTTAAACTTTAAAGAATGAAAGAGAACAAATATGAATAAATAGCAATAATTAGAAACACATATACAAACATACAATTTATTTTCTTTGAACAGAGTATTTGGCCGGTTCACAAATTTAAACAGTGTTTAGTCATTTCAATTAAATTTACAATTTCTATATTTCCTTTTTGCCATATTTATTCCTTATCTATTTTTTTAAAAAACCAATATTACCCTTCATCCTCATCTCTAATCTTAATCAAATTCATTTTTTCCTTTCTATTCTATATTATACCCCTTCCCATTGTCATCTATTTTTATATCCATCTTCACATTGGTTAATTATGTAATATTACAGTTGTTTAATATAAATTCAACATTTTAATATAAATCAATTAGTTATATAACTATCTTTTTTGTATATTAATCAATATGAACATGAATATTCCAATTATTTCCATGCAATCCAATTTCTTACAAATCAATTAATTATATTTACCAATAATAATAAACCAAATAATTTCCCCCATATATTCCTCCAAACCACAACTTAACCATTTCTGCTTTCAACACAATATACAATTAATAGTATCTTAATTATTACAAATCCCTAGTTAAATAGAGCTTTTTTTCTTTTGTGTTTTAAAATCTTGAACTCGCCTCTTTTTCCCTAAATTTCCCATTGTTTGCACCTACCTTTTTGGTGAGGAAAAAGAAAAGAAATCTGCCTGCCTAATTTTCCAACGTTGCAGCAACAGCAAAGCCAACAGCCTGCTTTACTTTCAGTTTTGTTTTTCAGCATAGCTAGGGGGAAAAAAATTTGCTCCAGCACTCTTTGCAAGCAAGCAGCAGAGCCCTCCACAAAACAGCTGAGAGCAAATCAGCTGAGAGTCGGGAGGCCCTAATCAACGGGCTAATTAGCCTATGCTGAAGCTCCGCGGGCCAATAAAATTACAAAAAAACACCGAACAGTTTGTTAAATTGCTGGCTTGCCCGCCCCTCGCCCACCACTATTTATTGGCAAAAAATAGTGGTGCCAAGGGGCGGGGCGAGCCAGCAATTTAACAAACAGTTCGGCCGAACCGCCTAGAACCGGCAGAATCGCACCATTGGGTACATACCTAAATTGAATTCTGTGGGTCCCTGAGGAGTGGAGCATTCTATCTTGGTAGATTCCTCCTTTTCTTGAGTTTCTCTTGCAGCCCAAAGAGAGAATGCTTCTGAGAGTGCAGGTTCAGAAAATACAGGACAGTGAAATAAAATGAAGTTTACTATAGAGACTTTGTGGAACTAGAGACACTAAGATTCACAAACTCTTGTGAGAACATAGAAGTAGCCATTACTCAGGGGATATAAAGTTTGTTTTCTAATTCATGAGAACTATAAACAGTTAATGTTTTGGTTCTATTATCTAGCCCTAGCTTGGTGTAAATCTAGATTCTTGGACTTTCTGAAATTTCCCACTTCACAGACTACTCCGGATATCAGCCTGTTTAATCTCTTTGGCTTGGTGGCCAGATTTGTTTTGTTTTCCTGGTTTCTCAACCTCTGGCTCTGAAAATGGCTCCCTTCTGAGAATTAATTTTGTTTAGCTACACAGCTCCTAAACAGTATCTTTTTACAGCCTTAGGTGATAAAACAGGATGGCGTTGTACTGTAATTGAAATGGATTATAAACTGACTCCTTATTCATGAATCAACATAATTCATCCAAAGAAAATTTTTTAAGTTGTAGTTACTTTTTTTTAAGGCAAACATCTTTCAAAATGACTTTTACTTATCTGTATGGGAACCCAGTTGAAATTTGTTTAATACTATTGAAGTAAGATGTTAAATTGAAATCTTTCTAGTATTAGAAGACATGATGATGGAATTTATTTCCAAATAAATATGGTTAGGAATGCATCCTTAATACCTATATAAGATAATAAGTATATACATTAGTTTTGTCTAGCTATTTTAATGAATGAATGTTGCATTGTTGCCTACTGTGTTCTCTAAAAGACATACCATAATATCTCAATCTATTTCTATAATTGAAAATGACAGATTGCCATGGGCTGCAAATGCCATGGACTGTGGTTTTTGTGTATAGCTCTGTGGGCTCAGCTGATTAATTAGTTGCTAGAATTCAAAGAACCACATAATTTATCTCATATATCTAAGGTTTTGAACATATGTTTTGAGAACATCGCATCTTGTCCCAAACTATAACTTTTCTATAGCATGGAAAGTTGTACTTAAAGCAATGAGGAGGGAGGGAGGGAGGGAGGGAGGGAGGGAGGAAGGAAGGAAGGAAGGAAGGAAGGAAGGAAGGAAGGAAGGAAAACCTGAATTTGCCTAATGTATTTCTTTAGTAGTTTTAAGTGTTTTTAAAAGTATAGTTTTTTTAAATCCTTTTTTCTATACCCAGAAATACTAGGGATTTTATCTGTAGAGTGGAGAGTATGTCCTATTAATTCTATTCATTAAATGAAATAATAAGTAAGAAGGTATGTTTTCCTGTTTTCCCTTTTATTGAATAAATATTGTGAGATACAGTAGAATGTGAGGGTTAATTGTTAAGACAAAAACATTAATAAGATGTGACTTTTACCTAGCCTGTAGTTCTTTATTATTTTCATTATTTGTAATTATACTACTTTTGGTTCAGTAACTCAGTTTGGCATACATAATGGTCCTTCCTTCTGTTTTTCTCCACATCACCTCTGTGCTGCAGATGGGTATGAGAAAGAGATTGGCCCAAATTCATTGAGTGAGCTTTTGGGGTATATATTTGACAGGAATCTGTATTTCCCCTCTACAGGTAGTCCTCAATTTATGACCACAATTGAGCCCAAAATTTCCGTTGTTAAGTAAGACATTTGTTAAGTGAGTTTTGCCCCATTTTACAACCTTTCTTGCCACAGTTGTTAAGTGAATCATTGCAATAGATAGGTTAGTAACCTGGTTGTTAAGTGAATCTGGCTTCCCCGCTGACTTTGCTTCTCAGATCAGAAAAAGTGATCATATGACTTTGGGACACAGCAACAGTCATAAGTATGAACCAGTTGCCAAGCACCTGAATTTTGATCATATGATCACGGGGATGCTGCAAAGGTTGTAACTGAAAAATAGTTATAAGTCCTTTTTTTCAGTGCTGTTGTAACTTTAAACAGTCACTAGATGAACTATTGTAAGTCAAAGACTACCTGTGTTAGTCTATCGTCTGTTGTACATCTTTTTTTAAAGTTTTATGTTTTTGCAAGATAGCTTATAGCTTACAGTGATAGTTTTTTTGAATATACTCATATATCGAAATACGAATAAATATTGAAATATCACAAAATATGAAGTTCATAATAAAATAAATACTTGTGAAAATATTAATATATAAGCAATTTCTAATAATTCATAATTTATAAATATTTGAAGCTCATAGCATATTTTGTCTATTAAGGTACAATGTTTTGTGGAAGATAGTGTACAACACAAAAGAACCTCCTCATAAGGGTATCATTGTTTGATATGACACATTTGAATGAATGAATAAAATAAAAAACTTGTGCTTATTTATGAAGGCTTTGAATGTATGTTAATTCAGGGCCCAAGTATATTATCAAGTAGGCCATTGTGCCCAGTAAAATTAAGGCTTCCATGATACTCACTAAAATGGTGAGTATAGCTTAAATTGAATGAACAAATTAAAATGGGAAGGAAAATTTACAATATAGCATCTTTTTCTATTTGTTTACTCATTCCCCAGATTTCTCTTAATAACTTTATACCAGATGTTCTTTAGCTTATAGTTGATAGCATATATATTGGACAGCAATCATGGCTCTTGAAAAAGAATGCTTGTTGTATCTGTCAAGTTTCATACAGCATCTGACTGCTTTACGATGCCTTATGAAGATTTGATTACAATATGCTGTCAGGAGCCAACAGTGCATGCTATTTACTTGGCTCAGTGCCACCTCTGGCTACTTGATTCCTCAAAAAGTTGCTACCACCCAGAGGGGGCAAAACCAATGAGCCATAGGGCATGCTTTTTATTAAAGAGGAGTCAAAGAGCAAAAAGAAACCACATCAGCTGCTGTCAATACTAAGCTAGTGCCAGAAACCCCAAGGCTACTACTGTTGCAGAACAACTGCCAAGCACTATAAATCTGAGATTTACTGTGACGCAAAGTTTCCTTAAGAGCTTAATTTCTGAAGCTACTGTATTACTTTTCTTAAAGTGCTGTATTTTAGGTACAATCCACTTGAGGGAGTGAGGGTTAAGATATAAGTGTGAGTTTGATGAATGAAAGAACTACTCTCTGTGTGGTTCTTGGCAAGTTGCCACGTCTTTGGGGATCATAGAAATTATTGATGACACAGAACACTTGTATGCCCTTAGCCTGAACAGCTGACTCAACATAGAAAGAAATGCATTCAGAAGAAGAAAGCATTTGTGTGAGAGCAATGGAACTAGGAACTTTCTTTTGATGTGAATAAGAGTTTATTAGAAATGTTGAGGAATTCTAGGTATAAAGCAGTTTGAAACTGTTTCATGTGTAAATGCTTGTATATATTAAATGAATTTATAATGGCAAGACTGTTGTGTTTTGGTACTGAATTTATTAAAATTCAGTTAAAATTGTTTTAAAAATAGAAGTAATGTAATAAATTGTATCATTTCCTTTGTTAAAATTTATAATTACAGCTTGTTTAACATGAAAACGAAAGAACAACTTACTTGTTCATAAATCACAAATAGAATGTTTTCAAACTCCGTGTCAGTGTTTCAAATCAGTAATGTGCATTCCACTTTTATTTCAGGCAAATGGCATTAAAATCGGCCCTCAGCATGCTGCTACTAATGCAACACTTGCAGGCAATCAAGGAGGACAACAAGCTGGAGGAGGCTGCTGTTGAACCTATTTTTACTTCCTAGCTGCCTGATGAGACCTACTAACTTTCATCCTCCCCTCTCTCCACTCAGTTTCAACTATGACACGAAATTATTGTAAGATGGCATCATGTTGCGGAAGACTTTATTCTTCAAATCTTGTACAACTTTGAATAAATGGTTAACGTTCACTTAAAATACAGGTTTTGGAGATTGTATTCATATCTATATTTCCATTTAATTTTGAAGTCCATTGTTGTGATTATTTTTGTCAAATATTGTCTTGTGCCCTTGACTACGAACTGTATTAAACACTACAAAGTCATCTGAGTACTTTATTCAGTTTATGTAGTTAGGTGGCCCAGCTACTGTGGTTACCTAATGTTTACTATTGTAGAACTGTCCTCAATTTTGTCCATTTTCAGCTCTGGAAAAAAAGGGATTCTTAATCCTGTATTTATCATTTACTTTCTGTATATATAGTTTAACAACCTGCTTGGATGTATTTGCCAAGCTATAATTCTTTAATGCATTTGCATAAATTCAATACATTTAGAGCTTGGAAGTGCAAAGCATTATTAGAAATTGCTTAGATATTGAATTTTAAACTTTATTGATATGTTAGCATGTTTGTTGTCTTGTCATTCTAGAGTCCCCACCTCCCCAAAAATGCTTTATGTATATTATTAGAAGCTACATATGTGTTACCTATTTTAATGCCAAATGTTTGCTATTTGCTCACAACTTCCATAACACCTCTTCAGAAATGGATTAGCTGTTTGCCTTAAATGTGTAGGTTAAACATATTATGAATGAAAATAGAGAAAACATTGAAACTCCAAATGGTACATTATGAAGAGTTTGATCTTAAATTTATTTCCATTTTCACTTACAGGTAAATGTTTTTCATCAAGGACAGTTTTTCAGCTTAGATGTACAGTAACTGTGTAAAGTTGGTTTTCTTTTGGTTTGGGCTTTTTTTAATTTTTTTGTGGCAACATGTAATCTTAATATGGTAAACATCTTGTCTATTGTGAAGGAGGTGTGACAATAAAATTGCCAGATTGCAAATACTTGATTGAAGACAAAATTGAAAATACTTTAGTGCTGCACTCCACATGGTGATTTTATTTTCATTTTCTCCATAGTTTTCATTTATTTTCCTCTGTGCAAAATAAGTTCCTGGTAATCATATATTAAACAAGGGAAGATGGATAGGACTTTTGTATTAAGTGAGAATGCCTTTTCTTGAGCCAACAGTGTTGCTAATTGTTTTTTTAAAAATCACCCAACTAACATTTCCAATTTAGAACCAGAGAGAGAATATGACATGATGGACATATTCAAATGGAAGTGAAAATAATTTCTAATTTAATGTTACAACTTCTTGATAGACATTCAATAACTAAACAATATATTATTACATTTTTATCATATCACAAAGATATAGCAAATAGTATTTGTGTCCAAAGGTTGCACATTTTTGATAGTCACAAGTGTAGGTGTTAGGACAGTAACAGTGTAACTGGATGGGCCACAGTCCAGGCTATGTGAAGGTGAGTGTTTGTGTACGTGTGTATGCTAATACGGTGGATTTTTCTAAAAAGCTTTTCTACACAAGCCTTAATTTACCTCTTTTTCTTGGATTTTGATGTTTCTTTTAACCAGTAATGGGAAGTGCAGCACCTTACCATCAAACTTTAGTGATATGATCTGAGGGATTTTAGAAGCTGCAATAAAAATACTGAATTGGCTTTATGCTGCCCACAGGATGCCCACCTGTTCTAAGGTGCCCAGAGAAGCCTTTTAGCTTCATGACAATCATGAAACAGATTTCTTGAAGATACGATTACATGCTTTTATTCATTAGGGAATGTTCCATTCTCCTTAACATTGGTCTATAAAGGGCTGGGTATGGCAATGATAGAAATGTGTGACATATACACATTTAGTTCAACTGCAAATCCCTTCATCTGCCATGCTGGGTTAGGGATAATAGGGTTAATTCACCAGTATATGTGGAATTGACCCAAGACCTAAAATCAGCATGCAGAATACAAGGATTTTATAGGTTGAACATGCATGCATGATTTGGGGCTATTGTTCATGATAGGAATACTAGTGCTGTTTTTTCTTTGATGCCGTCTCCTGTCATCTCAACTCTACTATTCAATGTACATTTTCTATAAATGTAATAACAAGCTCATACTTTAAAAGATCTGAGTTTGTTGGCCATGAAAATTGAGTTTCTTAATCTGTATGTGATGAATCAGATGTTCCATACTGAAATATTTTGTGTGATGTTTTTCTTAACTTCTCTTAAGGTACAGTGTTCCCTTGCAAAATTTGAACAGTTATGAAGATGAATAATTTGAAATAGAGAATTTGTACCTTTTAAATCTTGTTCTTTCATCAAACATTTTAAGCAACTGTATATGGTAGGCTAATACAGTTTCTGAGCCCTACTACACACATTGTTTTGTGACGTTTTCATTCGATATGGCATTTTAGTATTGTACACCACATCTAATATGCTCTCTCTGTGTATGTATAATATATACAGTACACATACATATTTGAAATAGAAATCTCTGAATTTTCTATTATATTACAATGTATTGTGTATTAGTTGTTTCTAATCACTGGATTTGTATGGTACAAATTTCAGATGTAACAGATCTAGCTGCTTAATGCAGTGTTTCACAAAAGTGAGAGAAATGACCAATACATGTTACTTATACCATTATCAACATTTGGAAGCTACTTAAAACATGAAGTAATGTTTATATGTTCAAAATTTATATTTGCTTCATCTCTGTCATTCTCATTCTGCCTTTGTTACAAGCAAACGTTTTTCCCTTTTCCCTCCCTTTCTCCCTGTTCCATTTCAAAAACAATACAGAATTATATTGAAAATGATGCTTTAGCAGCCATAGTGTTACAGGTGTTGAAAATACCTTTACATTAAAGAAACTTTGATAAGGCATTGGAAGTACCCTATTTGCTTACTGTTGATCATTCCTAGAATAAGGTATTTCAGTATATACTTAGCAATCTGCTCCATTTTAATTGTATGGAACTTTTCTAAAGTTTAATCTCTATAGAAATTGGTACAGCAATTTGGACTATCACTAGGAAAACTGGATAAAATGTTGAAAAAAGTTGTTTTGACAGTGCTTTTTTCCATTTATCGTATTTATTTTAAATACAATAGAGATATCCTTTAAGGATGGTGCCTGGCATGGTATTTAGTTTAAACTTCATCACTTACTTGTTTTATGTTTTTATTTTTAAAAATGAGACACTTGGAAAAATTCAAAAATTGCCAAATATGAAAGCTAAATTACATTTATGGAAATACATTTTCATTTTGAATGGAAATTATTGATATTTTACTCAGACAATACAGTAAAGGTTTTCTTTCTAAGGTGTAGAATTTCCTTGCAGCCTTGTTAATATATTTTGTTCTGTTGTGATATTGAAGTTTAGTTTGTAAATAATCCACGTTGATACTGTACTATGCAAGCAGCTGATGAACTGTCTACAGTACTAGGTTTGCTATGCATGAAAGAAACCAAATCGTTGCTAATAAAAACTACTAAAATACTCTTAACAAAGCCAAGACCATGACAAAAAGTAGTATGTAATGGATCTATCACTTCTGTTCTTGGGATGGATTTTATTATTTTTGGACTTCTTACAAACACTGTTAAATATTGTGAATAAGAAGGAACAGACTCTTGGCAAATGCAAAAACACTATATTATCCTACTTTAACTACAGTGGGAGTGCCCAAGTCAGATTTATTTTCTCTTATCAGTTGAGTTTTAAAAAAAAAATTATAAGATTGCCTTGAGTCAAAACAAAAAAAATATTCTTGCTAACACTTGGCCATAGACAATAAAATAATTATGTGGGGAAGTGGTTCTGTTAAGCAATGATGTATTTCTAAAAACATTTCAGATAACAGATTTTGAAAGATAAAATCTCATTAAGGTCAGGCTGAAAGGTTCAATTACATTTTAGTTTTTTCAATGTAATAATTGAAAATGGGCCTTAAGCAGATTTTTAAAGCCTTTAAATACTGGAAATAGATATTTTGTCCTAGCAGGCAAAACATGAATTTCTGTAAGCAATTTTCACATTATGCATTCCCATATATTACTGTCAGTTGCATAACATAAATGTAAATAAAAATTGTACAAGTATTTATGAATTATGGACAGGTTGTTTCCTTCCATTAAACCATCTTGTTATTTTAGCCTATGATTTTCCCAAGAAAATACATCAGGAGGCAATGAAACTGAAACATAATTAGGGTGTATTTTAAGTGTACCAGACAAAGCAATATAAATTCTGTTTCAGGTGTCTGAGATCGGGTTTTTTTTCCACAGTTCAATATTCATAAGTATCCTGGGCTGATAAGAATCAATACTTCAAGACAATTGAAATGCATTTTTCTGTTAGTTTTCTGAATCTGGTATTATTCTCCCTTTGCACAAAGAGGGGAAGGCTTACACTGAAACTCATCAGATGCATTACAATCTTCTTGGACTGTCAGATTAGAATGAACAGATTTTTGAGATGGGAATATCAGATTCTTCCCCAGCTGTTCAACTAATACTTATCATTTTCATTGTTATATTTATAAAATAGAAGATTCACATCAGATTATAGCCTACAATAATTACTGCTGTTATATTTCCATGAATGTAACAACTTATATTAATATATAATAGATACTTTTTTTTTAAGGAATCAATGTTTAAGAGGGTAAAAAAGGCTTAGGATTTAAGTGGGTTTGTTTGTTGGGGCACACCTGTTCCATCTTTCTCTGAAATGTGCTTCTGTTAAAACAAATGGGTTATAGGAATACGTTTTTGTCCTCTATCTCAGATTTGATTTCTAATTTCAGATTCTGAGGAATTACTTCTTTTTAGATTCATCTTTGTATAAAGTGTTTTGTTGTGTTCTGAATTAGCTTGTTCTTTACAGTTTCTGAAATTTTTCAAAAGTTTGACCTGCTGGACTTAAACTTTGGATCATGTTCACAAATTCTATAATGATTCTGCAAATGACTCTGGGCATAAGCCATGGGAAATGATACACCATTTTCAAGTCAGTGATCAGATACAAATTAGAACAGTAATGGTACATACTAATCTATTCCCATCCCTGCTGTATTGGTAAGTGTATAAAGCAAGGTGTTTTTGTTTCGTTCAGCAAAAAGCACAAGTGTGTGAAACCAATAAACTTTCATGAACCGACGTTTTTTCCATGGTGTAAAGCGGGTCCCCAACACCGGGCTGTGGACCAATATTGGTCCACGGCCTGTTAGAAACCAGGCTGCACAGCTGGAGGTGAACAGCGAGTGAATCTGCACATACAGGGATCTAGGTTGCATGCTCCTGTGTCCCCCAGCCCTATGGAAAAAGTCCATGAAACATTCCTGGTGCCAAAAATGTTGGGTATTGGGGATGTAAAGTTACTAGAACCTCTCAAACAAATTACCACTTCCATTTTTTAATATGCTATGTTCACATAGCATGTAACTTGTGTAACTGAATCATTTCTTCAACCCAATATTCTGGATATGCATGGCATATTGAATTACCTATACTGAGTTCACACAACTAAGCTAAAATGTAATTGGCCAGTGTTCTATAGTCAGGCAACCATCTAAATTGAAGGGAAACACAGTTCTTTGTTGTTGCTAAATGACATGTCAGTGTCGGGGATGGGAAGAGATTGAGAATTCTAGAAAATCAAAATTTCTCACAACTGAAGAAATTTTGAATCAGCAATGTAAACTAGCCATTTCCACTAGATGGAAGCCGAGGGATAAAAAAAGCTCTACTATGTCTGGCAGTTGTGGGAATGTTTGCAGTCCATATAGAGTAGCCTACAAAAGCATTTCTTGTTCTGGGAATTTAGTCAATTTTAGACATGAAACAAACCTCATTTAAGACCGCAAGAATACTCGATATTATTAGGAAACTATCATCTTGCAGTACAAATAGTTCACTTTAGGGGAAAAGTGCTTCTCCGGAAATAAATTCAATAATTGAATTGGAAAGGTGGAAAAGCTCTACAGAGTTAACGCCACTTTGTGGTGGGTTTCTTTTCTTTTTTTGGATATTATAATTCTTCAAACGCTTCCAGCTCAACTCCTTTCCTTCGTGGCAAAACGGAACAGAAACGACCCTTTTCACAGTTGCTGGCCAGCTGAAAGCAAGGCAGACTCGCTGTAAATTCCTTTCCTGAATGGCTTCAGTAATTCTTTGGTTCCCAGTTTACGAATAAAACAAGCTCCAGGCGAGCGGCGCAAGCAAGCCAAGTGGTTTTTAACAGCCCGGTGAACAGCTAACGCCGAGCTCTTTTGTGAGAGGCTTCGAGTTTCCTGTGGGAAACGCTGACGGCCAACATGAAGGGTTTTCTCACTTCCTGTGGGCGAACTACTTAGGGGACCGACGGCTGCCTTGCGGGGGCGACTCCCTGCCCTCGCCTGTGATATTGATGGAGGAAGGGGGTCTCCATTTCCTGAGCGGGCTTCTGATGAGGTTTCCTGTGTGGATCATCAAAGAAGTGGGCGAAGACCGAGGCTTTTTGCGCGTGCATTAGGCGGGGTACGCTTCCCCCGAGTGGCGGAACAGCAGATCATAAAACGCCGAGCATTTTTGCTGCTTCCCGCAGGGATCCCCAAGAGGAGGCGGTGAGGTCGGAAGCGGCTCGAGCGCGTTCTGGGGTGGGAAGCCCGCCGTCGGGGCGCTTGTGCCCGCTTGTTTCCGCGGCGATGCTGCAGTTGCAAGAAAGGGGCATCTCGCCGTTTCGCGCCTGAAAAAAATTAATGTGGAAATTCAGCGGTCCTAGAGGCGGCCCTGGAGCTCGGCTCATTGTTCTCCGCGAACATCAGTCGCCTCTCGACAGAGCCCTTCAAGCCGCGCCTGCCCTGCCCTTTTAAATCCGCCCAGCTCCTCCTCGCGGATTCACGGGACGAGCCCAGAGCCACCTGGGGCGTTGAGAGTTTCCCTCCCCCGCCCGTCCCTTTCCACGCCCCCTTTTGAACTGACGCCCAATCCCCAGGGACTGGGGAAATCTGTCCGTGCCGCGCCGGACCGGACCGGCACAGTCAGTTGGAGGAGATGGGGGGGGAGGGGTGCATCTCCTTCCATTGGCTCAGGGTCACAACCAATGGCGCGGCAAGGGAAAAGTGCCGTCAGGGAAAAGGAAAACCCTGAGACTGTGACGTAAAGAAACGGAGAGGAACAACGGGGTCGGGGGAAATGGAATCCCGGGAGAAGAAAGACTAGCGCTCAGCAATAGGTGTGTGTAAAGAACGGAAACGGGGCAGGCAGGCAGGATGCCCTTAGGGCTGTGGAGGCTCGAGACTTTCCAGACAAGAAAAGACGCGCGACAGCGATGCCGTGTGTGTGTGTGTGTGTGTGTGTGTGTGTGTGTAGGTGGGAAGGGAGCTGTGTGTGGATGTGTCAAAGGAACCTGGGACAGCGGAAGTTAGGAGGGGCCGTTTTGGTGGGGGGGGGGTCTAAGGGAGAAAATGAAAGTGGGGGGAGCATTTGCGAGCCACCCGGAGATTTCAACCGAAGTGGGGGGACGTCGCAGACGGCGATCTCTGTGTACCTGGAAGGATTCTAGGTGTAGAAAAAAGCCTTACAGGCTTAATGGGAGAAGGAAGGAACGACTTGTTCTTATTTCAACCTGTTTTCTTGCAGATTAAAAAATTCTTTCTTATTTAAAGCAAAGACTCTTGTTATCTGTCATCGGGAAGTCTTTACTTACGTTTCCAGAAACTCTTCCCAAAGAGAACCTGTTTTTCAAGAATGAGCCATTTTATTTCGCTAGCATCGGATAATTTTGTTTTGTTCCTCCTACGTCCTTGAATTAGTCACTGTGGTATAAATGAAATCTGAATCTTAAATTGAAGAGGCTATTACAATTCCATATTTGTATTCAACACGGGCACGCAAACTCTACAAAACTTGTACTTAGGACTACTGGCAAGTTGCACAAGCATTTGCATTGTTCAAGATTTTGCAATGAGCTCGAGTGATTCACTGAGGATCTTTTCAACTTGGTAAAGCCTCCATCTTCAGGAAGTTTGTGTGTCACAACCCTAAGCTAGTTTTCAGACTAGTTCCAGCAAAGTACTTCTTACTCATGCTTACGCTTCCTGAAACATGCTATTCCATTATCTATAAAAGAATCTTAAGTAGTCTAAATATGCATGAAGAATAAGGATATTGCTTAACATTCTGCACAAAGGATTCTGAAATACTATTTCAGAACTATTTAGCAGTGAAAAATTCACATTGAATTATGTATGCTGGTTTCCTAAACACAAGGAAATGCAGAACTGACAGGTTTCTATCGCAAGCTTGTGTGCTGCCCTGACACATGTTAGTGACATTACAAAAACACTGAAGACAGCTTCTCATCCTGTTCTATAAGCACCTTATATGTTTAATCACTTAGGCAGTGATTAAACCAAATTGCCCATGAACAAATTTACCTTGTTTCTATTACCTTGCTTTTCTATTTTGTAAAAAAGTGGATCTATTGTTTTCAGGGTTATGAATGCTGTATTTTTGGAATTTAAGTGAGACTACTGTATGTTTGATTTCTATCCTTAATAAAGATCTGTCACTAACACTGAAATAGTAAGTCCACCTTAATAAAGTGTTGTTCAATCCTTTTTCTTGATTCATATTTTAACTGGAACATTATGCCTTTTGAGACCTCTCACTCTTCCCACTTGCGTTCCCTTCTTTTTTTGACATGGGAATGTATTCCCTTTTCCTTTGTAAAAGTCTCTCAGAATATCTCATCATGAATCATGCCTCAATTCTGGTTGTATTTATCTCTTCTATTTTTCAAGATAATATTTTTTTAAGAAATTGAATGAAAAAGAAGGCCTCTCTCTCTCTCTGTGTCACACACACACACACACACACACACATTAATTTGAAGTCAAGACAATCAACTATTAAGAATACAGTTCTGAACAACCTGCCATAGTATATAAAAATATAGACTATGCTAAAGATTTTTTCCAAATTAATTAAAATGAAAAAACGATCAGGATCAAAAGAATATGGGATTAATTTTGTTGCTAAGTATTAGTGTTTGTCCTCCCTTTCCCCATATCTGCTTAATTAACAAATTTATGTATGCATTTAATGGGCATAATTCATTTCTAGTATAAATCTCAGAAGTATGTAGGCTAATATCTAAAACCTCACAAAGCCATAGCTAAGCATTTTATGTACTGATAAACACTTAAATTCAGTTGGCATTTAGTGATACTATCAATATATTGACAGCTGGGCAAGATAATATTTCTCCTGGTCTTAAATAATCTTAAACCTTTTCTCCTGAACAATAAGCTCTTAGATTGTATTATATTTGATACCTTGGTCTGAACCTCTATGATTTAATTCTTATTTTTCTAGAAGCAGGTCTCAGTGAACTCATATGTTTACAATTGTGTTCTGTTACATTGAAACAAATTAATTACTCATTAGTAATGTCATGATTGAAAAATATTTATTTGAGACTTGTATGATCTTAGGGAACAACTTGTGAGTGGTTCACGATATAAGAGGCTTTTAATCAATCTTTAAGACAACATTTATTTATTTTATTTATTTTTCATATTTGTATACCGCCCTACTCCCGAGGGACTCAGGGCGGTGAACAGCCATAAATAAATACAAAGACATACAAAAGTTAAAAACTTAAATTTATTGCTGATATATGACTTATCACCTATTGAAAGTCCAGAGTTCTGAATTCAGCTGAAATGTAAGAGAGGGTGAAAAGTGTTGAATTAAGAGGAAATATCATCCAACAGATCCTAAGTGATAATGTAGCAGACAATGAAATTATACACTTTCAGTTTAATGCCAACATTCTCTAATATAACTTTATATTCATGCAGTTATTTCATATAATTCTCAGAACATATAGTATGTTATTGAATATTATGGGAAAATAGGTAATCTTGCATCCTTTCAATGGACAATACTGTGGGTGGTATAGGTTTATGACCAATCCATTCTGTTATATTTATGAAATGACATAAAAAGTTTTGTGTTACTATGGAAGCAAGTGTGTTAGATAAGAAATTGCCTCCTACTTTTGTTCTGGTTGCAGTCATCTTTTTCTTTATTATTAATTGTAAAAAAAATTGCCCGCTTTGTTCCAAGTAAAATTAATAGAATGAACAATATTCCACTATTTTATTTAAATGGACCAACTGTAACAATGTAGCTTTTCTAATGGATGAACAATGAAGGTTGGTTGCTTTAGTTGTGAAATCAGAGTTTAAATATAAATATGTTAAATATGCTTCAAAATAGTCTCAAAATCCATACAGAAACCCTTGTCTGATTTTAGATTGTACAATGATTCCATCAGTTGTGATTTCTTGCTAAGGGCATGTGTACCACAAATAAGTATATATATGTGTGAGTGAGTGAGTGATATTATAAGGAATGTGAATAAACAGACATCTGTATTTGTAACATAAATCAATTTAAATGCCTCTAAAACCTTCTTTTCTTCAGATCCAAATTATAGTTTGCAGAGGGCCGTAATTGATCAAATGACTGGTACAATAATATATATATATATATATATATTAAAAAATCATTTTTTTGAAAATCATTTTTTTTTTTATTTTCTAATACGTAATCCACTGCAGTATCTGTGGTCCATTAAGAAATTGTGTTTCATGAAGTGTTTTATTCCAAAACAGCAGATCAATCTGGCAACCTCTTACTACTTCATCCCTAAAGAAGTTTCTGCTATTCATTCAAAGGAGTCTGTTTTATTAAGTGCTGGCTACCAGTGAATGCTGGAATTCCTGAACAGCATGCATCTGAAGACTAAACCAAAATATCAGTATCTTTGTATACTTACCACAAGAGAAATGTGGATTCATGTCCATTTCTGGTCATCTGTATGTATAGTATTATGTTAGAAATTAGAAGCTACTTTGGGGTAGGGAGAGGTTATATATTAACTCTCTGAATGTATGGACGTGTATCATAACCTGCTGTAAGGCGTATCCAGTGCCTGCTCTGAGAAAATCTGAAATGCATGGATCATAATAATAACTTGCACTAAGGAATTTCTGATGGCAGTGTAGAATGGCAAAAAAACTTGAAAATACTTATTTGAAAATGACACCTGTAAACTGCAAGAAATGAAAGAGGTGAGTGGAATAGTACAGATTGAATTGTGACATGTTCTTAAAAGACTGACATGTTAGTGTGAACTGGGGCAATAGATGTGGAATTCACAGCATGGAAATATGTTTCAACAGATGTGGGATACCCATGTTTAGCAAAAACTATAGCCAATATACTCTCAGACATAATAACCCAAAAGCTAGCTTATGTGACCATTGAAAGAAGCACATACTAAAATATGTATTCATGCTGATATATATGAATATTACATGATGTATCTGTATACATATTAGTTAAGCATCTTAATCTATTAGAAATCAATGAACTTAGGCACTTAATTGAAAAAATTGCTGGACATATTTATCTTATAATTAGCTAGTGTGACTTAACAGGAATTTTTTGTAACTAAATAAAAGTGTAACTAATGCTTAAAACACTGTTATATACTACTGCATTGTAGAATAGATTTTATATATATGCATTATCTTAGTCCTAGATTGAGGGGCCCTACATGTCACTCATTCCCAGGTGATCTCCTGATTGGACTATTGCAATGAACTCTATGTGGGGCTGCCTTTGAAGATTATTTGGAAACTTCAGCTAGTACAAAAGTGCAGCGGCACAGGCAGTTATGTGTGTTTTGCTAGAACACATTACACTTCTGCTCTGTGAGCTTCATTGGTTACCAGTTTGTCTCAGGATCCAAGTCAAGATGCTGGTGTTCACTTTTATATTCCTAAATGGCATGGGACTGGATTATTTGAGGGTCTATATTTTGTTATCTTCTGCAGTTCTTTCTCTTCTACTCTGAGATCTCCAGGTATTGCCACGTCTACAATCCAGCCTTTTTTGTCTTTCTTATTAAAAAATTGTTAAGTCACGGGTGCCTATTATGTGGCAGATGCTTGTTTGTTTGAATTCTAAAGTCCCAGAGCACTTTAGCTCCTTCATTTTCTATTTCTTTCTCTATTTCATGTTCCCATCAGTTCTTGCTTTCCGACAAATAGTATTTCTTGTAGATCTTTTAAAGCACCACTGTTGCTACTTTGTCATGCTATTGTTTCTATGAGTCTGTGCAATCTTCTTGCAGCATCTAACCAGGTAATCCACTGTTTCTTTAGCTTCTTTGCAGAGGTGGCACTTGCTATCTGTTGCTGTTTTCTCAACAGTTTTCTCTCTGGCTTTGTATGAATTTGTTCTTAAGGCTTGATCTTGTGCAGCCAGAATAACTCTCTCTTTCTTCAACTTTATTGCTCTTAGCCATTGTTGGATCTTGCTATTATCTGTTTCCCCCTACCTCTTTTCTGTTCTTCATTTGGTCTTTTTTTGTAGGCCAGTTTGGTCTCTCCAGTACTGAGTCGGCCTTCTTGGTATTCTACCATAGCTTCAGTGCACCTTCTTCACTGTTGTTTAGGTATCCTTCCAATGGTCTATTTTTTTTTCTTCAACAATCTGATGTATTTACAACATTCCATACCCACTTATTTTCCTTGACAGTAGAGTCTGACAACATTGCTTCATGGATGAAGGGCATGATTCAGAATAAGAGAATAACAGAGTTGGAAGGGACATTGGAGGTCTTCTAGTCCAACCCCCTGATTAGGCAGGAAACCCTATACCACTTCAGACAAATGGTTATCCAATATCTTTAAAAAAATTTCCAGTGTTGTAGCATTCACAACTTCTGGAGGCAAGTTGTTCCACTGATTAATTGTTCAAACTGTCAGGAAATTTCTCCTTAGTTCTAGGTTGCTTCTCTCCTTTATTAATTTCCACCCATTGCTTCTTGTCCTGCCCTCAGGTGCTTTGGAGAATAGATTGACTCCCTCTTCTTTGTGGCAGCCCCTGAGATATTGGAACACTGCTGTCATGTCCCTTCTTTTCATTAAACTAGACATACCCAGTTCCTGCAGCCATTCTTCATATGTTTTAGCCTCCAGTTTTTTATTATTACTATTACTATTACTATTACTATTATTATTATTATTATTATTATTATTATTATTATTAGTAGTAGTAGTAGTAGTAGTATCATAATCAATTCATTATTATTATTTTCCTGGTTATCCTATCCAGGGCTTTTAGTTATGCTTGAATCCATTTCACTATTCCAGATGTGTATCTAATGACTGGAATTGCCCAGGTGTTAATTGTCTTGATGGTATTGGTTCCATTAGTTTGGACTTTAATATCCTTCTCACTCTCTTGGTGTATTCATTTCTAACCTTGTTCTTGACTTCAGTATGCTTGGTTTTGTCACCTTGAAGAATGCCCACATATTTGTAATGATTTCATCCAGACTCTTAATGTGATTTCCATAGGGCATCTGGACATCACTATTTTTCCCCATTGGATGGTAAACATGCATGTTTGTCCAGTCCAAACTCCATTGCAATATCTTGACTGTATATATGGACAGTGTTGAACAGGAATTCTATTTCAGGTGGTGTTTATGGTTTGTTGCACAGTCAGCCAGAAATTGAGACTGAAATTGGCATTT